GTGGCAGCCTTACGTAAGTTACGTATGGCAGCCTTAAGTACGTTAATTCTTTTTGTGCAGCATTTATTAATCAGATTTACTAATTAGATTTACTAATCAGATTACGTACGGTAAAGCACGTGCTATAGCCGAGCTATAGCCGAGCTATAGCCGAGTTAAGCACGTATAGCAAAAGGACGTGCAGCATGCAAGGTTTCTTTCCGTGCAGCATTTACTAATCAGATTTACTAATCAGATTTACTAATTAAATTTACTAATCAGATTTACTAATCAGATTTATTAATCAGATTTACTAAGCGAAGCGTTTTTTTTTTATTCCGCGTCGAGTTCGTGTTTCAAATATTATAATTTACTTTTATTGAATCGAAGCATTGCATCGATTATTATTAAGCGACGCGTTATTTTCTTTGTTTCGCGTCGATTCATTATTTCAAAACGCGTTATTTTCTTTGTTCTGCGTCGATTTATTATTTTAAATATTATAATTCACTTTTAATGAATCGAAGCAATGCCTCGATTACGATTAAGCTACACTTTTATTTTTATATAAGTATTCGCTCTCCTTCTTTTTCCTTTTCTTTTTTTCATTATCACCACAACTACTTTCTATTCAACTTCTCAACTTTAACACTTAACTTCTCAACTTTAACTTCAACACTCAACTTCTTAACCTTAATACCTAACTTCTTAACCAACTTCAACACTTAACTACAACTATACTTAACTTAAGTAATTATTTTCCTTTTGATTCCTTGCTTTTTGATTCTTTGCTTTAAGCTAATTATTTTCTTTATTTAGCAATATCGATTCCCTTCCTTTATAACGCTATAGTCGAGGTCAACCCTTTTAGCACCGGTAGCAACAAGCTAATCAACGAGATACTTGGTCGCTATAAAGATTTCGTAGTCGTTTATATTAATAATAACGTTGTTAATTCAATGTTTACTTGCTATGACGAAGAAGATACCGCTTTGTTTTTAAGACTAATCGGCCTCGATTACGAATAAAAAGGTCGCAAAGGTTTTATCGACGAGTTCGGCATCAAGCACTACAATGCTAACAAAGTTAATAATAACATGTAGTGCTTACCAGCACTAAGATCAAGAGGAGATTCTGTGGATTGAATGAAGCTTGGTATATTCTATTTAAGAAGCTCGTCAGGATCTATGTACATGTACCTAGGAGCTCCAGTGTGCTAAGGGCGCTACTAAGCGAGGTCACATGACATGTCACATGTAGCTTGGGTGGAACTATGCCTGTTCCGCATAATACACCCCTTAAGTCAGCAGCGTAGCTGCTGAGCTGCAAGCAAATAAAAAAGAAAAAAAATGAGTGACTAAGCTTTCTAAACTCGATTGTAAATAAAGGAGATTGTCATCGCAGTCTAAACAAACAAATAGCGGTTGTTATTATTGATTGAGTGTCAGTCAAGAATGCAATTCTTTCCTAAGTCGGTCTTATCACGTAGCGGGGGTCTTTAGCGCCGTCCTTGTCGCGTTGCTATATAAGTAAGAGCGCGTTCCTTTCTATTATAACAAACACTCAACCTCCATCTATTCACACAATGCCCCTTAAGCAAGTAACTCAATTTAATAGAATCGTCAAGCGCGGCCGAGGCCGTCCAAGAGTAAGTGCTCCTGATAGATTAATATTTCCATGCTGACTATTAAGAGAATCCCTTGTCCGCTTCAGCTATCGCTGCTGCTGCAGCTGCGGCGGCGGCGGCGGCTATACCTCGCACTCCTACCCCCGAGCCTCGCACTCCCACCCCCGAGGCTTCGCCCCCTCTTCCAGACCCTCTTACCAGGCGCTTGCTTATGCCAACGACCGTCAAGGCCTTGAGGTGCATTAAGTGCATTAATAGTGGGATCACATCGGGGTCTAATAGAGACTGTTATAATTGTGATACGAGCGTCATACGCTGTCTTCGGTGTGCTAAAGGTAGCCATAGCAATTGCACCGCTGCTTTTGCCGCTGCTAACACCGCTTTCGATAACTTCGTGAGCGCTAAAGACAATAGTGCTATACAAAGAGTTCGCCGAGGTCTCCGAGATGCTATGCGATAACAGCTCGCCTTAGATGCTGCCCTTTCAAGAGGTGCTGCTAGTGATCTGGGCGGTCTAGCGAGTAGAAGTGGAGGTTTTGAAAGTAGTCTCGGTGGCCTTGCAGGTTTTGCTTTTGCTTTTAAGACTTTTAATTTAAATGTGGCCCTTGTTAGATTGAATAGTCTTGTGACAGCGAACCGTGGTCCGGTGACGCGGAGCGCCTCGAGCATGTCACCCTCTCGTAAGTCAAGCTCCTTGACTTCCGAAATAATTTAATCCAAGCAGCTCCTTTTGACTAGAACTTCCTCTCGGACTTTATGCAAAGGCTCCAATCTGCTGCTGTAGCAGCTCTTGCGCTTGCCGCCCTTGTTGCTCCCGTCGCTCCCGCTGCTCCCGTCGCTTCCGTCGCACTTATTATCGTCGCCCCTTTTGCGCTAGTCGTTGCGCTTGCCGCTTCCGCGGCGGCGCCCGCCGTTGCTATGACTCTTGCGGAGCGCCGGGCTAAAGTGAAAAGATTGCTAAAAGCTCTGATAGATCTTTTATTATGAAAAGCGAAGGGTAGAAGCGTGTAAGATAAGATAGAATAACGGTTAAGATTGCTAAATAGATGTTTTCTTTTAAATCACGTGCAAATGAAAAAAATGAAATATAATAAGTGAACAGCATATGCGTGCTATTAAAGCTTCTCGACTGACGCGCGAGCGTCTTATAAATTTAAGAGCTTGATAAAGCTCTTAAACTTCTGTCGAGTCAGGTTCTTTGTAAGACCGTTAGCGTGCATCTCTTTAGTAAAGAGATATTAAACCTGAAAGCTCCTTTTTAAGTGCTCTTAGCGCAGCCATATATTATGAATATCGACGTAGCGAAGCTTGGTAAAGATACGCTCTTTTTCACCAGCTATAAGCTTGATTGTTTATTAATTATTATAATAGACCACCCAAGGCGCCGCAAAACGAAGGTGCAGCTCCTTAAAAAATCGTTAAAGCGCCATGGTCTCTTTTACTATAAGGGCCATGCCAAGGAGCTCCGCTTTAGTGGATAATATAGTGACTGTATCCTGCCTTAAAGCTTTCCAAAAGATCGCACCCTCGAACAAAAACATAATGTACTCTTGAAAAGATCGCTTTGTCTCTTCGTCATCGGCGTAAGAAGCGTTAGAAGCTATTACTAGCTTTGATTTGCTGAACTGGCTGTATTGAATACCTTTGAAGCGCGAGCCAAATAGATATCGCAAACACTAGTTTATAGCTCGAAGGTGCTCCGCGCTTGAATTGGTGCTAAAGTGAAAGAGTTAAAAGGCTGCAAAAGCTACATCTGGGCGTAGCATAATCGCTATATATAGCACGGATCTAACCTTCTCTTAGTACTCTTTCACTTGCTTCCGCGAAGCTATCCTTTTATTTTTGACTAAGTCATAGAACGGTAATAGAATTGCTAAGCAGCGTCCGTCCGTGAGTTCGAATTTCTTAGCTATTTTTTTAATATAAGCGTCGTGCATAAGCGTTAGCGTTCTTCGCTAACGGTCTCGAGCGACTCTTACACTAAAAAACCATTCAATATCTTTTATCGCCTCGATCTCGTACGCTTTATTAAGACCGTTAATGATCTCTTGCGCTTTAGAAAAATTAAAGTGATGATATATGACTTGAATATCGTCTACGTAAAACGCTATAAAGACCGTCTTGTCTAGATTCGTAAAAATACACGGTTTCTTACCGAGTAGAATAAGCTCCAATTTATCGAGTGTGCTTATAAAGTCGAAATACTATAAAGCTGGCGAGTCTCTAAGTCTATATAAAGCTCTATCGACCTTTACGAGCATACCTTTTTGCTTAAAACCGTCAAGGAGATAACACGTGACTAGGACGCTGTTCGTGTGTCTTATAGCGTTGATAAAAGCGTTAATAACGTCGAACTGTTTTACTTTTAAATCAAATTCGACTGCTATAACTATCATTATCTTAAACGATCTAGCTGCTAGCGTAGCAGCGTAAGTTAAATAGATAGTAGATTCGTCTTAAAGGTCGCCTTTAACTACAATCCTCGATCTGAACCTTACGATCTCCTCGGACGAGCCAGTCTTGTATATGAACACCCACTTAAGAAGTATAAGTTTTGACTTAGCTTCGCCTTCGGGAATCACTCTTTAGCAATTCCTTTTCTTCAGATTATTCAGCTTTATAAGAGCTCCGTCCTTGAACTCCTTGCCGTATAAGTGTCGTTATAGCTCTTTTTAATAGATAAAAGGTTTTGGATGTTTTCGTTCTTGCGAGTTAAGCTGTTCTGATGACAGCCCAAACGAGGTAGCAGCTGCTATCATAGCGTGCAATGTCTCGTAATCTTTGCTATCTTCGCGCACGGGCTCGCTATTAGCTTAGAAAATCGACACAAAATTTAAGACGCGCGAATAGCGGTTCGAATCGGCGCGAGAGTTGTCTAAGAGAAGCTTACTAACACTTGCGTATATCCTCGCGCGTTTTCTAGTGCGGCTACTAATAAGTGAGTGCTCCTTATTAGAGTCGGAATTTTATCTAAAGTGTTTATGATCTAATTTCTTATTATCAATGCTCGCATCAAAAGGGTCTAAAGGCTCCTTCTTGATTGTTCGGTTTGAATCTCCGCCGGTTATTGACGTAGAAGCTCCCGTTAGTCGGCTTATAGCTTGGCCTTCCGGGCCCCGGCTTTAAATAACAACCTAAAGGTATGATTTGCGCGCTCCCTTATTAAGGCCAAGTTTTTACCCGTCTACGGTGCTCCTCCCTGCTTCTGGCAGTCTTAAGGCACCTTCGCCCTTGCTCTTAGCTAAGGAGCTAGCGAGACGTTCAGCGGTATAGCTTAAATTATCAAGGTCCATTGGATCGTCTCGTAAAGCAATTGCTTTTAGTATAGACGTATCCATAAGGTCTCCAATTAAAGTTAAAGCTCTTAACGTTTATGCATCGCTCGGATTAGATAGGGTCGCATTCCTTAAGCTTTGATTAGATCCTTTTAAGTCAACCTCTATAAGGTCTGACGGCTGCTCACCCCTCACATCAGCTGCATTCGTCTCTTTTAAGCGATCCTTTGCGACGTTCTTTATGTCAGACAAAGCGTCCTTTGTTTAACTAAAGTCTTTAATATCTTTTAATTTAATAACGATGCTCTTGATCTCGCTAATCGGTTGGCCGACCGATTTTTCTTCGTTTTTAAGATAGAATTAAGTCTTATCGAACGTCACGTTGCGTGTGACAATCACTTTATAAAGCACAAGAACATAGACCTTGTATATATTAGAAGCTACATATCTAACCAAATAGCTTATATGTCCCTTCGGTTTGACCTTAAAAGCTCTTTTATTGCGAAGAGCTTCTCGGTCCTTGATCATTAAGTACGCACGAACGCTATACGCAACCAAACCGCTATAATCTGGTCTCAAGTCGGTATCGATCCGTATAAAGATCGCCGGATCGTACTACTTAAAATATTGCTTGAACCAAAGCTATAGCACTTCATTCGGACTCTTTATAGAGCTCTTCGCTCTCGGTATCATGTTATAAAGGTAGATAGCGGCTAGTGTAGTCTCAGGCTAAAGCTTCTCTAGGAGCCCTGCTCTTACTCTTATTTTGATAGACCGTTCTATCACCTTTCTCTTAGCCCTCTTAGCTCCTCTATTAGGTTCGTGATTAAAAGATAGTAGGAGCTCCAATTCGATCTTAACCTCTTTCGCCTATCTTTGATATTCGGTAAAGCCGATTACGTTAACTGCGATTACCGAAGAATCGTTATCATAGCGCATAATAGCTATTGAAAGACCGTATTTGCGTCTCGTCTATGCTTCAAATTCCCTTAGCACTTTCATGACCGTCAATTGTAACTTGTCCTTCAATATAAAGCCGAATAGCTTCCTATTGTATTCATCCTTAATTATTAACAATCATTTGCTCTTTTCGAAACCGTTAAAGAAGTCGAATAGATCTCAGGCGATCTTGTAAAATAGCTTAGCTGCTTTATTATCTGACGTGCGGCGAGATATGACTTATTGAGCGTGCGTAATAGCATATGCCTCACATTCAACCTTAGTGATTCCTTTGAGTTTCACCCCCTTGGCATTGTAAGCTAGCGCTTCGAGCGCTTCTTTGCTTAGATGACCTATCCGTAAATGCCAGAGTATCGATAAATCCTCCTTTAAAGCTCGGAAGACACTGCTCTTTTGGAATTTATGGCGTGTTTGCAAGCGCCTTTAGGTTGTAGGGAACATCATTAGGCAAAGGGAGCTACGAATCAATTAAGGCAAAGAATAGTTGAATAGCTTGTATTCAAAGAACGTAAAGTTGAACTTCCTTTTTAACTTTCTTAAAACGACGCTTTCCTTGACCTTCCCGTAGCGGAAAGTTGCGTTATATCCCGAGTACCACACGCCAGCCTTGCTTAAAAGAGCTTCCGAGATAATATTAACATTAAACCCTTTGACGATAGCGACGTTCTCCAACTTTAAATCCTCCGTCCTAGCTCCATTTGGTCCGTTCAAAGCTCTTTTAAAGACTTTGGTCCTTCGCCCGACGACTAAGAGACTACTCGTTCTAGCTTCGATGAAGTCGGTTAAGCGGAAGCGCTGAATTGACCTTAGCACTAAAAGATTCTTATCGTTAACAAAGTGAGTAGCGCCGCAATTATCGAGAAGAATGCTGTTGGATAGCTAGTGCTTATTGTCAGCCGTGCTATAGAGACCGTCAAGGACAAGATTATCGAGCGTGCTAAAGAGCTTAAGATCGATAATAGCTATTAACACCTTTCTAAAGTATTTTAACTTATCGCTATCGTTCGATTGCTTCTCCTTGTCTTTTAAGACGATCTTATCGACTTGAATTTGTGCTTAACCTTTCTTCGTGATCTCTTTTCGAAGCGCCTTGAACTTAAGTTCTTAAAGCCTCTTCTTTGTAGCGACGATATTATCTCGGTTCGGCTTTACGAATCCACTTTCGTCAAGACCGTCAAAGCAATAGCGAAGGATCTTGCACTTGATTGCGTCTTAGTGATGGTTTCTCCTTTTAAAGCACGGGCACTTAAAACCTTTAGCAAGTCCTTTGAAGCTATCAGAGCGTTTACCGGACTGCTTAAGAGCAGTATCGTTAGCTTTGTCACTTCCGGAGGTGCTGCGAATCGTTTGATCTCCGAAAGTAGCGAATACACTAAAGAGGTTAGAGTTCGGATTGCTAGTCTTTTCTTCGACTTAGCTTTCGTACCAGTTAAGGTAGTCGTAGAGGGTGCGCTTTTGAAGCAATGACAGCTCGTCGTTTCGAATGACCTTTGCGAGCTCTAGCGACGCTTAAGTTAATAACTATTTTTCGCTAATAGCTTCCAAGAATGCCCTTATCGCAAGTATACCCGTCGTCTCGTAAAGGTTGTTCATCTTCGCCAACTTATAGATAGCTCGGTGTTCTTTAATCTATATCGCTAAGAAGACGCTCCTTTGCTTAGCTGCTTGCAAAGATTTATTATAGTCTCGTGCTATCGACAGCTTAAAGCTCGAGTCGAATGGACGGCATATTTCTTAAAGCTTTTCTATTAAGAATTAGATAAAGGTATTGTCTTCTTTTAAAGCCGCCAAGATCGCCTCCTCGAGAATAAAGCTCTCAACCGTCTCTCTGATCTAGTCTATGATTTGATTGCTCTTGTTACTTAAGACCTTCTAGTTGTTTATAACGAAGTTGTATTTCTTTATGTTATCGTTATACGCTTTTCGGACGTCTTCGAACTTAACGTCTTTTAGCTTTAAAGGTCTATTAAGATCGTCTGCAAGAGCTCCTAGGTGTAGTTCTTCTTAAGCCTTTCGTTAGCGGTCCTACTCTTAGAACTATTCGTTGTTGAGCTCCGTTACCATCTCTATAGCAGACTTCGTTTTTGGTCTGATCTGCTCGATAAAAGAAGCAGGTTCTTCTACGCTAATACGAAGAGATGCGTATTATTTTATGCCAAGGCGCTTGATAAGGTATTTATAGTTCGTAATTTATCTTAAGAAGTCGCTACGACTTGTAAGGTTCGTTTTGTTGATCAAGAGGACCTCCTCTACTTTATCGTCCATTGTTATAGCAATTGACTTTATGACTAGAGCTTTTGAAAATTAGTTGTAAGGAATGAATATAGTTGAAAAAAGGACAGATTGCAAAAAATGAAAGTTATAGCAAGGTAGCGTTGAAGTGACTTGCAGAATCCGCTCCCGATTAATTCGGAAGTTGTCAGAGACTAACTGAATAGCTCGTGAGTGCGAATGTGGCTCTTAACTGTAGTGCTTACCAGCACTAAGATCAAGAAGAGATTCTGTAGATTGAATGAAGCTTGGTATATTCTATCTAGGAAGCTCGTCAGGATCTATGTACATGTACCTAGGAGCTCCAGTGTGCCAAGGGCGCTACTAGGCGAGGTCACATGACATGTCACATGTAGCTTGGGTGGAACCATGCCTGTTCCGCACAACATAACATCTATATTCTATGATCATTAATTGATTTTTTATTTAAAAGGAGAGCGCTCAGGTCTTTTATTTCCTCGACCACTTTGTTTTTTTCCTTAACTTAATTGGAAAGCAATTCACTTATAAAGATGTCAAGGTTCGATTGATCTTAAGTGATCTTACTCTTAAGCTTTTCGATAGCGATTATGCCGAAGCTAAAAGCATCTTAAAAAAGCTATTAATGCTATACCCTTTTATTATCGATAGCACTTTAGTATACAAACGCTTTACTTTCAAGTTCTCGGATGAAAATGAGTTTAAGTAAAGCAACAAATGCCAAAAGCTAAAAGAGCTACTTAAGTCAAACGAGATTTATTTAAACTATGCTTACAAGCAAAAGCTTAAGCTAAAAGCGGAGACCGAGTTGAACGTATTCTACGTAACTGCAAAAGGACGGGTCTTTATCAACTCTTTATAACTAGTAAACTTAGGCTAAAGAACGGGTCTTTACCAACCCTTAAGCCTTTGTAACTAATAAATTTGACTAATACTTTGAGTCTTTGATTAGTAAATGTGATTAGTAAATGTGATTAATAAATGTAATTAGTAAATGTGATTAATAAATGTGATTAGTAAACCTGATTAGTAATTATGCATATGCATATTTTTATATATATAAACCCTATAGAGTAACCCCACGCCCTATAAGGTTTCCCTATAAGAAGGGGCAGAATTTTGTACCCCCCGTGGGTTCCCCCGTGGAGAAGACCCAAAACTCCGTGGGGCCCCATGGGGCCCCATGGAGCAGCCTACGCACGGGGGAACCTACGAGAGGTACAAAATTCTGCCCCTCTTTATAAGGAAACCTTATAGGGCGTAAGGTTACTCCATGAGGTTTATATACATAAAAATATGCATATGCATAATTACTAATCAGGTTTACTAATTACATTTATTAATTACATTTATTAATTATATTTACTAATCACATTTACTAATTATATTTATTAATTAAAGACTTAAAGTATTAATCAAATTTACTAGTTACAAAAGCCTAAGGGTTAGTAAAAACTCGTTTTTTAGCTTAAGTCTATTAGTTATAAAGAGTTAATAAAGACTCGTCTTTTTGCAGTTACGTAGAATACGTTTAACTCGGTCTCCGCCTTTAGCCCAAGCTCTTGCTTGTAAGCATGGTTTAAATAAATCTCGTCTGACTTAAGTAGCTCTTTTAGCTTTTAGCACTTGTTGCTCCACTTAAACTTATTTTCATTCGAGAACTTAAAGGTAAGGCGTTTGTATACTAAGGTGCTATCGATAGTAAAAAGGTATAGCATTAATAGCTCTTTCAAGATGCTTTTAGCTTCGGTATGATCGCTATCGAAAAGCTTAAGAGTAAGATCACTTAAGATTAATCGAACCTTGATATCCTTATAAGTAAATTGCTTTCCAATTGCGTTAAAGAAAGAAACAAAATGATCGAGGAGATAAAAGACTTGAGCGCTTTCTTTTTAAATAAAAAATCAATTAGTAATTATAGAATATAGATGTTATTACTAACTTTATTAACACCGTAATGCTTAATGCCGAACTCGTCGATAAAACTTTTGCGACCTTTTTATTCGTAATCGAAGCCGATTAGTCTTAAAAACAAAGCGGTATCTTTTTCGTTATAGCAAGTAAACATTGAATTAATAACGCTACTATTAGTATAAACGACTACGAAATCTTTATAGCGATTAGGTATTTCGTTGATTAGCTTATTGCTACTAATGTTAAAAAGGTTGACTTCGATTATAGCGTTATAAAAGAAAGGAATCGACATTGCTAAATAAAGAAAATAATTAACTTGAAGCAAAGAATCAAAAAGCAAGGAATCAAAAGGAAAATAATTACTTAAGTTGAATGTGGTTATAGTTGAGTATTAAAGTTGGTTAAGAAGTTGAAGTTAAGTGTTGAGGTTAAGAAGTTGAAGTTGAATGTTAAGGTTAAAGTTAAGAAGTTGAGTGTTAAAGTTAAGGTTAAGAAGTTGAGTGTTGAGGTGATGATGAAAAAAAGAAAAAGAAAAAGAAGAGGTGCGAGTGTGACGACACGCCAGGTCTCCTGGACGCACCTCACATGCGCCAAGCTACTTCCCTCCTTTTTCCTTTCGTATTCTTCGTATTCTCTCATTCCCCGCTTTTGACTTATGAACTATGGTTCACGAGTCCTTGGCGCTTCTACTTTCGTATATATAGACCTCAGCTACCTTCGACTTTTACACTCGGTAGTTGTTGATTCTAAGTCATTACTTTAAGATTCTTTTAAGCTTTTATATGAACCTTCGCGCTCTTGTAAGTTCTTTTAAGTAATCGCTTAAAGTCGTTATATTATCAACAACTACTTTATTCCGCCGGGAACGGCTTTAATAATATTCTTCCTCTTTAGAATTCTTTAATAGTTAGACGTTAAAAAACATTCAGACGACTCTAACGGTTACGAAAAGGCCTATTCCAAGTACAACTTGAAGGATAGCACTTATATAATACAACAACCTTCGCTTCGCGAGCAAAATCCTCCGCACACCTTTTAAAGCTGCTTTAACAGCTCCTTCTTCTTCTTTTACGGCTTAACTAGCAGTTCTTTTTACTTAAAAAGAAGCTATTAATAAGCAAGACGATAAAGATGATCTTTCGGCTTTTATTAACCTCGAAGAAGCTTTGGCCCAACATCAAGCTCTCTTTTAGTCTTAACGAGAGGCCGTTAAGCTTAAGAAGCTCTTCGTAGACATGAAAACCCGCAACGAAGAGCTCGATAAAAGCGCTAGCGAATAAAAAACCTTCGCCGAAAGGGCTGAAAAAAAAGCCCGTCGAGCTCGAAAGGAACTAGACTAGCTTTAAGCGGTCTTGCTAACTACGGAACGCTCGTCAAAGCTTCTTTAAGTTTCCTTCGAAGATAATTCTAAAAGCAAAGAGCTATACAAGCCTTCGGTCTCTTAAGCCATTCTTTTTACTTATAAAACCGCTAACCTTCGCCGCTTCTTCGCCGACGACGATAAACCACTTTTTCTTTATAAGCTAACCAACTTTCGCACTTTAGCTAAGTTCAACACCTTTAAAGCCTTCTCTTTAACTTCTTAAGGTCGCGCTCGTATCGAGCGGATCTTTAACTTTAAACAAAAGCTCTTAAACAGTGTAAGCTATCGAGCACGTTATTAGCAAGCTCGCGTCTTCGATAACTTAAAAGCTTTCGATAAATACTTCTTTACAAAACGCTAGCGCAAGAACTACGTCTTTAACCAAACCGAAAGAACAGCTTATTTATTCTTAGCCCTTTTAATTATAAATCGTAACAACTTCGTAACCGCTTCGGAACTCGTCTAGATCGCTTTCGAGTTCTTAAACGACTTCGCTAAAAAGGCTAAAGCGTTAATTAAGTTCGAAAAACTTTATATAAAGCTTAATTAGCAATTTTAAGACTTCTACTTTGTTTTCTCGAAGCTTGCCGCTACCGTCGAAATTAAAAACGAAGACCGATTACGTAAGGCTTTGCGTTTTAAGATCATTAAGACGCTGCGCAACTAGCTTTATTTGGAATTTGTTAAGACTATAACTTTTAAAGACTTTCAGACTGCCGTCTAATAATTAGCTGCTAGTTAATACGCATTTGCAAGGCTTTACGACGCTTTATAAGCTAAATACAATACTTAATTCGCGAAGAGCTTTTATAGTAAAGCTCGTAACGAATCCCGCTCGGCTTAAGGAGTAGCGGTCAAGCAAATTATTTATTACGAGAACCGCCAAGATAGCTTAGCCCTCGTCTCTTTCTTTACTTTTTAGCGCTAAATCTTTAACAGCTTTAGCGCTAGTGCAGATCGATTTAATCGATTTAATAAATTCTCTTTTTTCGGAAACGCTTTTAAGTTAGCAATTAAAACCTTTAAATCGTCTTGCAAAGACTCGAATACGCCGAAGCTCTTTCGC